CGGACTCGGAGTACGGCACGTGCTTGCAGCACTTAAGCGCGCTTTTTGTTCTGACAAACTTAAGAGAATCGGACAAGAACTTTGATTTTTGCAGCTTCGATGAAGGGTGCACGCCGACTCTCCGCAGTGCGAGATGTCACCAGCACCGAGGCATCTCGCCCATCACAGGTCACCTCTTCTCTGTTGTGCATTGTTGTATCTTGTTGTGCCCTGACCAAGAACCTCATGTGCCGACGTTGTCGGCCGACGCTGCCGCTGCCGCTGACCGTCTAATTTTAAAGTGTGCTCGAGCACGAAGGGTGTCAAACCTCCAAGGCAGTTTGCGTGTTCGCGAAGCGCGAGATCGAACAGGCCGAATCCCCAAGGCAAACGCGACATTATGTACAGAAGCGCTTCGGCAGCCAAGTTTGAGACGGAGAGGCGGGGAAACCCAAAACCTGCTCTAGCGACTGCTTCAGAGCAGTCGGCTGTTTCAACTTAAAGAAGCGAGAAAGAGAGCCGATGCATGTCATAGCAAAGGATAGAACGATGCATCTCAAAGCATCTCAAAGCAAAGGTCCGAGCTAGTAGATGCATCTCAAAGTCATGCTCAATTGCTCAATGCCAACGACATGACGAATCAAAGGTTTGTGCAACTTGGTGTGAGCGTGTCAGATGTAAAACTTTGCATCTCGAAACAAAGCTCTGTGTAAGCGAAATGCATCAAGAGCAAACGCCTAAACAAGAGATCTGTGCCCTAGAGGCGTCTAGAAAAAGCAGACCAGGATCGGGTCTCCCCCTCCCAGACCCCCCAACCCTCGGGGCATCCGATATTGGGTTTCAAGGCTGTGGGCCCTCAAACACAGCTGTGTAAACTGTGTAAACCCTGGGCCCTTTTGTGAAAGGCTCTTCTTGGAGAGCCCGCCTGGGACCTTCCCCCGGTTCTTGCGCTTGGTCGCCTCTGGCACCGCCCTGTCTACGCCATGACGTGCCTCATGCTGCACCGAGTGACTGATGACTTTATGACTTTCGGCCGTCAAAAACAAAAGAACGTTCTGACTGCTGCTTTGGGGACCCTCCATGTTGGGATTCCTCGTAATGATACGGGTGTGTCCCCTCCGAACGCTGCGCCCCGGATCGGGCCGGGCTGCCGAGACGGCGGGCACAAGCGTTTACAGCTAAGTGAATGCATCTCGATGAAAAAAAACCCCACTACTGCTTGGACTTGGAGTTTCGGTTGGGTTCTCCCCGCACCGAGAGATGCTTGCCATGCCAGCGTAAGATAAAACGCTGCAGCCAAGCCAGCAAGGAAACAGAAAACCGAAGCCAAACAAAGGCGGGAAGCAAACGCAGAACACGCATGCCGCAGTTATCTCAAACCGTGGAAGCAACTTCAGGTAAACAGCAAACAACGGACCAAACCCCAACACGCACAGAGACGTGCGTTTTCTTGAATCGGCGGGCGGCTTGACGCTCGAAGCGATGCTAATCATGCTATACTCCCGTGACCGGGCCTTCCAAAACGAGGCTGTAGGATGAGAATGTCGCAACGCATTGGTGCGCGCGGAAACCTTGAGAGCACCACGAAAGTGCCCCAGAGCATCATTACAGACGTTTCTTAAGACTATAGGCGTGCTGAAGTTGGCACTGCACGCAATGGCACGCAAGGCACGTAAGCTGAGCCAGTTTGGCCAAGCAGCTTCCCCAAGCGATATGGCAGCCCGGGAGGCTGACCACATCTTTGAACCGCCGATTCATCTGCAGCACAAGATCCAAATTCCATTCCAGTAGCTGGTCGCCCGTCACCTGCAATGAGGTGCCGACATTGCATGGTGACGGTATACCCCTTCTACTTCCTTAAAGGCGCCCCGGAGCGTGCCCCCCGCCCCGCCCCCCCCCCCCTTCACAGTGCGAGCCTGTTGCAGCTTCTGCTGCTGCCTTGCCCCTGCCAGTTCTCCAAGCAAACGCATGGCAGGCACCGTGGGTGCCTCAGCCAACATCAAAAAGCTGCGTAGCAACGCCATTGAGGGGGCACGCCAGTTCTTGGCCACCGCGCATCACTGGAGGGGAAGCTTTCACTTGCACCTCGGTTTTGGATTCTGCCGCGGCGTCTTTGGCATGAACATCGCAGAGAATCGGCGCAGAAGCACAGAAGCAGCTGTGCCAAGCCATGCCCCACTCAGGTCTTGCTGCCCTTACAGTTGGACTCCTCAGACGCTGGCACGGCACTCGGCGAAGTGCACGCCAGAGCCTTGGGCATGCCGCTTTTCGTCACTCCAGCGGTATCAATCTACATGGGGCACTCATCATGCACTACGCAAAAGGATGCAAAAGGTATCAAAAGGTATTGAACATGGTCGCATATTTATGAACATTCTGCATCTTCTACCTTAGCGCCGAGGGGCAATTCCAGCAAGAGTTGATGCAGCTTCGGGTCCTTGCAAGGGCCAGAAGGAAGAGTCTACATGAGTATACATGCGCAGTGTGACTCGCGCACCGTGAACGGAGCTGGGTTCCAAGCAGGACGCGACAAAATGAGCGTCTCCACAAGGCGAGAGGCCCCAGGCTCATGGTCAAGCAGAAGCTTGGGCTCCTCCATCTTTCCACAGAACATCTCTCAGATGTCCCAAGCTCACTGAAACATACTGAAACGCATCCAACTTGAGATCTCCTGGACGGCCCGTGTTGCGGGCGAGGCATCCTCCAAAATGGAGCTCAACAACTCTGCCAGCGATCGTTGGGCACGTAGCCTGCAGGTCAACGCTCTCCCTGCACATCCCTCCTCTTCTGAAACCTTTCTGAAGCATGCCAACAAAAAATAGAGCAGCACAGAGAGAGAGAGCAGCAGTTGACGCGTCTGCAGACCAGTGGCACCGCGAAGGAGACAGCACTCGACCGCAGACCTCTCAATGTCAAGGCCAGGCACGGTAAAGCCGGAGCAGTTCCACGCAGCTCTCTTCAGCAGCCCTGCACGTGCTGAGAATGCAGCTTGCCGATCCAAATGCGGGCGACGTGCTTGCGGCGCAAAGCAATGCGCCTCTGCTAGAGAAGGTACACGAGCTTGCGACAAGGAAAAGCCGCCTATACTCATAATTAAGCCCGAGAGACCTAAAGCATTCTCTCTCTCTCAGCCCGGGGCCCGGGAAGCTCGGGATGGCCAGTAGCATCTCTGCGAGCTGCGCTCGGCAGGACAGGAGCTCCTGCAAAGAGCAGGCCAGAAGCCTCACCAGCTCCGCCAGCTCCACCAGCCTGGCTGCTCTCCCCTCCAATCTTAGGCTAAAAGAGGATCGGAGGAGAGGACTCATCGCTCAAGCCCTCTTCAGAACAACAATCATGAACATCTCACCCCTCCTGCCCACCTTCTCTCATATTCCTCTCGATTTGGCCTTTCGTTTCTCGTAACAAACATGCCCCGCGAGGCGAGTTCTTGTCAGCTGGCGAGGGGGAAGAGCCTGTCAAAAAGAGAGGAGGGAGAATTGTTTCAGGCTGATAAGATGGCATGCAAGAACTTTGAAGCTCTTCTCTCTCACAAATCAAAACTCAAAAGATCTGCGAGAGAGATAGAGAGCCAGTGTGTCATGGCCATGGAGCCTTGAGAAGCAAGCAAGGCATCATCGAGCATCCTTATGATGGAGAAATCTTGGGAACTTCCCGCATCCGTCTATCCTCGATCCAACTGCTCGGATCCCCACTCGCCGAATGCGGCCACCGCCAGCAATGAGGCGTGCTGCAACCTGCAGTGACTTGTGAGAGCTGTTCTCGGAACACCACTCAATCCGAATAACTCCTGCTTCCAAGCTTCCCGACCACCCTAAACCACCATAAGAGGCCGACTTTGTCAGGAGCGCGTCCTACGAGGCGAGGGAACTCCCACTCGCAATGGCAATCAATCAGCAAAGCAGAACCGAGAAAGACCGAAGCAGGACGGAGCACGTTGCGCCTCGCAGAGCTCCGTGGTCATGCCTTCAGAAAGGGTTGGACGGGCACCATCTCAACTTCGAACCCCTCTCTCTCCCCGCAAAGTGGCGGCCTTGAAAGCTCAGGCATGTCGCCCCCGTGAGTGCCTGGAAGATAGTAAGGTAGAGCTGAGGGCCCACGGAGCTGGAGCTGGAGTCAGACGGAGCCCTGAGGCTCCGGCGGCCGCAGCAACGGCGGCGCGGTGCCACTGCGCCCGGCCCGCCGCCTCTCAGAAGAACCAGGCTGAGAGAGCACGGGCCGCACGGGATTCCATGCGATGGACTGGGCGCAATGAGTCCTACAAAATTCCCGGTGAAAAAGGCATGAGGAGCCTCTGCGCCCTCAACTTCAACTTGTTTGATTAAACCACTCCATACATGATGAAAGAGCGATGGATGATGATGGTGGAGTCATTGAGATAGATCTGCAGTGTGCGGATCTTTGCTACCAGCCTCCACCGTCAGTCCGACAAGTCGTTTGGGTACGTCACCCACCTCGTTCTCATCCTGCAGATGGCTGCACACTTTGCATGTCTTTGCACACTTCTCTGGGCTGATGGCTTTGAGCACACCTCCGGGGGGGGGCGGCCTGGACGTGCTCCCTAGCGTTCCATGCCGCGATGTTCTCAAAGAGCTCCTTCATTCCCACATTCGAAGCCCTGAAGAATCGCTGCGAGGACGAGAGCGCATTTGGCTCCTCCAGCTCGTCGGATCTGCTAAGGACCTGCACACACGGGGGGAGGGAGGGGGGGGCGGAGGCACTTCTTTCAAACATCTCTTCGCTTCTCACGCCAGGGTGGTATATTCATTCAGATTACGGGTCGATCCTCGGTCAGCTCCGCGAGGCCGACCTGCAGAACCCCTTTAACAAAAAAGATGCAGGGCCCTCGCCCCCCCCCCCCCGCCCCTTCCCCCCCCCACATCAAAGCAGCTGCGCTTTCACCGCAGTACTAACTGCACCTTTTGTCGGAGGGTTGCCTTTATGGCGCTGCTGCACGCACTGACACCGCGATAGCGACGCCGGAGGCCGCGTCAGCTTACAGTGAGACTGTTTCTGGTCATTTTTCAAACCGTTCCATACTTGATGTGCTTGGCTTGCTCCATTTGCCAAGATGCAAAAGGAACATCTTCGTCTGCTTTAAAAGTTTCCTTACGTTCTGCGAAGGCAGTCTGGATGAGCTCTTCCACAGGGTATCCCAAACGACGCGTCGTGTTGGTCGTAAATCCCGTGCGCTTGCTGCGAACCCCGATCTTGAAGCCTGTTCCGCAGTTAGAAGGACAAGACGCCAGGTATCCGAACTCAGGCGTGTACGCATAGCACAAGGACCTGCTTTCCTCCCTGAAATCAGAGGTGCTCTCCGCGGGCATCGCTGATTGGGGCGCTTCTTGGGGCAAGCGGCATGCAGTGGAGACAAACTCGATCAAGTTGGTCCACACCTCCCAGGCAAGGGCGACTGAGTCGGCATCTGGCTCTGGAACGGTGCAAATGAAACGCATGTGGTCCTCCTCATTCACTAGCAAGCTCACCTCCACCTTGTTTGCCATCTCGGGGGTCACGGCCATCCTCCTTCCGGCTTGGGGCCGAATGGGCCGACAAGTGAAGTTGAAGAAGCTGCGGTTCTCCGGCCAGTCTTCCAGCAAGCCCGCAGAGTGCATCGCCTCGTACTCGTTCATAGGCCACTTCTCCGGCACGTCCGCCATCCGCACTTGCTTGACGTCCAAGGCGAAGCGGTCCCCGAACTCGACGGCGGCTGTCCTTAACACCTCGTGCAGGAGGGAACGCTGCTTGGCGGTCATGTCAGACGGGAAGGGGAACGACTCGAAATTGCGCACAGTCCGGAAACGCAAGATGTCGATGTCATCCCATTTTTGCGCGCCCAAGCAACGGGGCATCTTGGTTGGAATGTGGTGCACATGCGCGTCTTCCTTCCTCGGCAAAGAAGGAATGCGGTGGTATGCCCTGGCAACGAAACCGAAGAAGGCGGCAAGGTGTCTGTAGTCGCTTGCAGTACCCGCGTAGCACCCGATCATACACTGCCTGTACTCTTCCCCGCTCCTGCAGATCTTTCGCATGCGCTCAGCGTGCAGGGCCTCGCGTGGGTGTTCTTGCCAATGCTGCCTTTGCACCAGCATCCCACCCAAAAAAAGTGCGGACGGCTTCTCAGACCAGTACATGAAGAGATACAACGCGACGCACACACAAACGTAGGAAACCAACACACAGCCGAGGCCGTCGCCGACGGCCCACACCGGCTCGCCGGCTTTCCCCTCGGACATGTACCACATCACGTGCTGAATGATGCTCGTGAAGAAAGGGATCAGGATTCCAGAGAAGGCATAATGCACGGCAGATAGGCGCCGCAGCACAAGGATCCGCCCGGCGTTCTGGATCAAGCAAGCCGCAAGAAACATCGCGTAGCACGCCATGATGTTCCAACTGGCCTGGAGGTTTGCAATCGTCTCTGGCAGCGTGACGAGTTTGAAGGCGTCACGCATGGCCGGGCTGAGGGATATCGGAAGTATGATGAGCAGCGTCATCAAGCCGCCACCGAGAACCTCGAAGTGCAAGAGCTTGTAAGGTGAAACTGCGAAGGCCTTGATTTGCATGTCCTCCACAATGGACATGAAGGCGTAGCACGAGGAGCGCAGCGCGATGATGGCCAAGCAGAAGCTCGTGTGCCCCAAGCCCCCCGAATGCATGCTCTTGGTTGCGAGCAACAGCACGGCGCCGAAGACGGCGAGGGCGAGCACAAAGAGCCGCCGGCTCAACGTCATAAGCGGCGCCTCGACCTCGCGCTTGACGAAGCTGTCCACTACGACGGTGGCCGCAAGCTCACAACCGCGGGAGTAAATACTCTGGAGTGTGGAGCCTGTCATGAGCAAGCTTATGGTCAGCAGCGCCATCCCCACAGCCTCGGCCACACTCAGGAAGATCAGCCACTTGCTGTAGCTGGGGGCACCCTCCCAAGGGATCAGCTTCTTTAGAAGTTGACCTGCCGCCAGCATTGGCACCAACATGGACAAATTCATGACCACAAGATCGTTCACCTCCGCCTTGCCAAGCTTCTCAAGCATGACACGTTGCAGCGAAGCGGCAAAAACTGTGACACCGACTGGGGCAGACATCCCATTTCGCAGACGTTCGCTCCCTGCCCTACGTTGACTACATTGGCTGCGGGCCACATGGCTACATGCGTACAGAAACACAACAGCCCCAACCACAACAAAAGCAGTCGCAGTGGTTGTCGCAGGCGTCGTTCGTTGTAGTCGTGGCGATCATGTAGATACGGTGCACAGGACATTTGACATGTAAAAACGCATCGCATGAAACAACAATGCAGAACATCTTACTCGGGAACAAATACTATTCCAACTTTCGCGCCCTCGCATATCACGCCCCTGCGCGACCATTGTGGCTGGAGATGTGCATTCTTAAGAAAATGCCCCAATAAGAACAACCTAATCCTAATTGTGGGGAAATCGGGCGCGCGAACTGAGATGGGCTTAAACGTAGAACCCTCTATGAGTTAGGCAAGTTGCCAAGGGCTCCCCCCTTGAAAAATGGCACAAAATCACGTGGCCCATATGCGCATCCAATTATGAAGGCGAAGAGAGCGCAAGAAAATTCCAAGCATTCTCTAAACATCTCCAAACTTACACCTCTCCGCATCCTACTACCATCTTTGTACTACAAAAGACGACTTTCGAGACACTGAACTGTCACTGAACCTTCCTCGGCGTACTACGTTTGCGACAAAGGTCGACTTTCGAGCGGCTGGAACTCCCTAAGTCCTCCACGTATTTACTACCTTTCCACTACAATAGTCGTCCACAAGCGACTTCGCACAGACGTCAAAAACGACGACAGTTTCGCATTTCGCGAACACGACGACAGTTTCGCGATGTGCGAATCCAGACATCAGACAAACGACGACAGTCACTAGATACGAGGATGGCGACATGGATGCGCACGGGCTAGACGAGAGCGCGATCTGCAACATCGTGAATTACACATGCCCTTGCTTCATGTCATTCACTCACAGCTTACATCTGGACACGTGGACTCGCATAGGCACTAGACTGGGGGAAGCCGGTGCATGCAACTTCAGCCAACGAAAAGGGCCGATTCGTGACACCCACGAAGAAGTCACGATCCGCAGGCTTACAGGAGCCTTCAGGTCAACACACACGGACTTCGAGCACCTTTGACCCAGGGCGGGCAGGGCGGGCATCACTCAGGCCAGACACCCTGGCATCTCCCACCCACCCATCCCCTTGATCTTCATAGCATATGAGATGTAAGACGTGATGCCAACAGCATCACTCACTTCGCTCATTTACAAACAAGGTGACACGAAGTTTCGTGTTGCAACCTAAGCTTCGTCTGGCCGCATGCAGCGAACCATGCCTGCCACGTTTTCAAGACGCGTAGCGATGCAAGCCTCGAAAAATGCACGGGTCCCAGGGGGAGAGCACGATTTCCACCCATAAAACACCATCGCGATTCGAAAAACAGTGCAATTTGCGATGTTTCGAGGCCACAGGAAATCCGTGCACATGCAGCACTGGAAAAGGCACGCATGTCGTCCAAAATGCCACCACCGGTCGAGAATTAGCGTCCGCTAACCCAAGACCCGCATAGTATCGCATAGTGTTGGCACACTGTTTTGGGGAAAAACCTTCGCTGGGACCGGGGAAAAGCGTAGTGGGAGTCGTAGTAGCAGGGCCCCATGATGGCTGCAACACAAAACGAACAGCCAACCCCTACATGTCACCACTACATCATATATAGCAATGACATTTATATTGCCTTTCTCAGTACTACTATTGGCAGTATATACTTATACATGCAATACATAATTATATGCAACAACTGCATATAGAACACATACAATGTATAGATAACAAAAATAGCTACCAAACACACAACCACCGCTGTCAGGGTAAGTGCAGCGCCGGAGCCGACAGGCCCACAAGATCCTGGCGCGAAGAAGAGAAAGCGAAGCACTCGGAGACATTGCAGTATTAGAAATCATTGATGCCATGCCGCACCTGTTCGGCCATGCCAAGCGATGCTCGCACCGTGGTATTGCCAGACTACACAGCCGTGGCGAGCAGCGGCTACCCCTAATTTTGATGGAGTGTATCCTAGAGTGTCCCATCTGTGATACGCCTGCAGTGGCTCACTGCCCGAGACGGCTGTCTGCTGAACCAACACGAATATCAGCGGAGGGTAACTTTTTGCAAGGATCCTGGCATCTCAGCAAATCTCCAAAAGCTCCCATGCGCTCCCATGTGCCAGGGACGGACACTTTCGCTGAAGATCTCATTACGAAGGGGAGCGCCGTGGACTGCACGCTGTGTAGATGTGACCAAAGATGAACAGCTGATATCACACAACCACAAAGACCAGACTGACAAGCCGTTTCAATGATCGTGGAATGAGAAATGGCAAACAATGACAGGCTCAACCCTGAAAACAGGCCTCTTCTGGTCACTTATGTGCGGCGCACGGAAACCATGTTTGGGAGAAACCCCCATGCCTCAGGAACATGGGTGTTCTGTCATGCTGTCATGTGCAGCATGTCATGATCTAACCGGACCCTGGACAATAGGCAGCCGAGAAGACTATACGACAGGCACTGTTGTCCAGCAAATGAGTTTGTAGATCTCCTCTTGCTCGTAAAGGAGACGAGTTCGTGAATCCAAGATGGTACGGAGGTTTTCGATGGGCAATGGAATGGTCCCAACACTGGCTCGCATGTGATGGTCTAAGGGAAAGCGTCCCTTAAGTTTCGGAGGCTCTGGAAAGGGCGTGTCTCGATGTCACGGGCCAAAGCCGCAAGGCTTGGTATGCGGCATGGAGACAGGGTCGCTCTTCAGACTCAAGCCTCAGGGGCCTCATGGGGCCTCATGGGCATGACGGGAGGGGTCGGTGAACAAGAAGCACAAGGTGCCACGACTGTGTGCAGCAGAAGATCCATGGATGGCACACAAGGAGCAACTACACGCCCTATTGCCAAGTACTAATTCCATCTAATTCCTGTCGTCCTCCCACACTCCGTCCCCAAATTTCTTAACTATGCCACGACTCAGGGTCGCTGGATGGCTTTGGCCTTGTGATTCCGACGAGTTGAAGAATACACAAGCTTCGCATTGTCCAACTTGTCCGTGCAAACAGGAGGATTTGGAGCTTTCTTGCACTGGAGGTGCTGGTAATGCCGTCACACTTTGCCCCAAGGCACTCGCTCCACTTCGAGTCTTTTCTGCAGGGATGCAGCTGCGGGCCTTTACCCCCTTAAGGCCAATCTCTGCACAGGAACACTCGGCAAGACTCCTACGCTACACCGGAACAAACTGCAAGGAGTAGTTCACTTCCCAAAGCGCCATGAGCCCAAATCTGGCTCGTCAAGCGCACGAAAATAACTCTCTAAGATCTCTTCGTCCTGATAGTAGTCGTCTATGCGATCCTCATCTTCCTCATCTTCCAGGGGCGGGTAACTCCACTCATCGGCCCAAGAACGGCATTTCATCATCCTGTCCAGGGCAGTCTCAAAAGCTGCCAGGAAAGCTTTGAAGCTGCTCGCCTTCGACTTTTCGAGTTTTTCCAGAGCTGCTCTCACAGCTCTCTCCTTGATGCCGCCGCCGCAGACAATGGAGCAGTCCAAATAAGCGGGGTCCAAGTGGCACTTCAGCACGCCGTAGTCCTTGCCAGTCCAAACCAAAGCCATGGCCAGGGAATACGCGCTCCTTCCTCCCAAGCGTCTCTCTCCTCTGCTCTTCTCACGAGTGTAGGAAAAGCATCCGAATCTGTTTATGTTCCTTCCTGGCCTTCTAGAATTCGGCTGGTAATTCATTCCCACACCCCCACCTTACAACAACAACGCCTTTTCAAAAGGGCAGCACGGGGCGCCAAGAAGCAAGACGCGCGCTGAGGCCGGGATTGGCCTGGCGTCCAGGACGCTGCGCACCGAGGCCCACCAGGCCTTCCGCAAAGGGCCTTTGGCATCCTTCGGGTCCAAGCCTCAGGGCATTTGTCGGGGTATGAGTATGGGGTACTTATATGGGGTTTACAAGGGTGATAACGGTGATGGGGTACTAATCTGGGACTTTATAGGGGGGTTATAGGGTTTAGGGTCCCTGGCAGGAAACCCTACAGCCTACCCCTAAACCCACCACAGACCATGAACCACAGAGGAGGGATCTCTACAGGGGCCCTCCAGCAAGGAGGAAGGAACCAAGGGGCCATTGAGTTGAAGGTCGTGTTCAAAGGGCACTGCATGGGCCTGCTCACCACCCTCTCGGAGCTGCAGGAACTTGTAGTAGGGGCTCTCAAAGGACATTGATTTCTTGTCGCCTTCCTCCAACTTCTCCAACTCCAAGCGTACGGACTGCATGGGGCATGAAGGAGTCATGAAAGCGTTGATCAGATTTCTAGCCTGCTGGACCATTTTCTTGCCAGTGCCCGCTCTCACAACCACGAGCTCCTTGGGGCGTAATCGCACGGCCTCCTGGAAAACCGTTGACTCCATCATTGCTCTCACGGTTTTCGACGTGGACCTCACATTTCGCAGTGAGGATGCCGGCAACACGGACAAGATCTCAACTGAAGCCAGAAAGGGCAGTCTCTGGTGAAAGCTGGCCATGCTGGCGATCTGCTATGACTACCGCCACCTGCAGCTTCTTTGAGCCGCACTGAAATGCAGAAAACAGCGGACAGGTTTCGAGTGCCATGTCAGTGCCGTTCATTGAGCTGCAATGTAGTATTGGGATTCTGGACCATTGCGCTGCAAACCTTTTGCCCGTGGTAGTCGTGGTACACAAACTCATGGACCCTGGGCCAGAGCGGGGGCAATCTAAAGCCTGCTCACCATTTCTTTAGCAAAGCCGCCCGGGCAGTTGGTAATAGTCCGTCCTCGGCAGCGCAAGCTTTAAAGCGCTGCTCTTGGGTCGAATTTGAGCCTTTCTGGCCCTAAGACCTGCCAATCCCTGTACAGAACTTGCTTCAGATCCACAGACATCCAAAGCAGAGGATTGACAGGGACCTTGAATAAAAACCCCTGCAGCCCCTTTCAACGCAATATCTGGGAGCGTGCAGCCCCCCAAATCTAGGTCCGGACTCATGTACTTTCAGAACCCAACACCAGAAACCTGGCTTGTCAAGATCACATGGCAATCTGATGCGGGGTTCTAGATCTAGGGTTACAAGCGTAGGCCCCTCAAACGGGTCGGCAACAGTGTTGAAAAACACCTACTACATCCTACGTACATAGGTTTACAAGTTTTAGGGTTTCTATCGTCGCCCAAGGCCCTGCAACAGGGCCCGTACTTGAAAGCGTTTACTACAAACCCAGAAAAAGCCTCTACAGCACTAAGCCCCAAACACCCTGAACTCCAAAACCCTTACGCTGTAGATTTAGGTTTCAAGGGGCCACAGCAGACTGCTGAGACTTCGCCCAACAGCCAGTGCGCGCAACAGCTGGACTTAAAGGCTTGTGTTTTGGGTTGATCATATTGATTATACTCTTATACGATTGTACAATGTTGTCACATTCTTACAGCATTGTACTGTTACATTGTTGCATTGTGATATCATACGGAAAGAATACTATTAAAGACTATAATACTCTACTATCACATCATCATCATCATCATCATCATCATCATCATCATCATCATCATAACAGCTTAATATTGTCATATTCGCCTCGGCTTCCTGCCGAGAAGCGTGTGGAACAACAGGCATCCTAACCCAACATCCCCCACCCCCCGCCCCCCCCCCCCCCCCCCCCCCCCCCCCCCAACCCCCCCGCCCCCCAACCCCCCGCCCCCCAACCCCCCCCCACCCCCCCCCCCCCCCCCACCCCCCACACCCCCCCCACCCCCACCCCCCCCAAGCCCAGTTAGCAGAAACCCTCTTTCCTCCTGGGGCCGGCCCGGCTGCCGAGGCGGCGCGCGCAAGTGTTTACAATTATGTTTTGTATGAATATGTGAATACGTTTATACTTCAATATTTCTTATTCTGTCAGGGTACTAGAATGTGTATTCATTTCTATCTATGTTCTTATATTTTAATTTTGTATTGTGGTAAGTGTTATATTGTCATTTTGTTTCTTTGTCATCCTGCTTATTGTTGTAGAAATATAGATTGCTGTACGTATTCTTATATGGTCAGACATTGTGATAGTATTAGACTATAGGTGGAGTATTACATCTTGATTTTCGTTTAAGATGGGAATGTGGGCAGCAGGTCTCGGGAAACTCGGAGATTGTATTATAGGAAGTGACTATCCATTCCTCCAGTCCCCCGCAGTTGAAAGAATCATCCAGCCCTGGTCACAAGAGGCCGCTACCCCCAAAGTCACGCCTGTTTAGACGACGACTTCCTCAGACATTCGTCTCGCCTGGCTGTGAGCGTGCTTGGTTTTAGACACTGCGCCCTGAATGTGTTGGAGCGCGCAGGTTCTCGGAATGGAGGGTTGGCACCATTGTCGTTCGGGAACGGCTTTGTGTGAAGTCCCATGTTGGCTTCAGAAGACTCGGCACTCCAAGCTACATCCCCACTCCCGAGCCCTCTTCTGCTCCTTGTGCGTCTTCTGCTTTTGTTTCCCCTTGTGCTCCGACTTCGCCTTTTCGAGCGTCTCCCTTAGTATGACCAGCCGCCACGACGCAAACGTCTGGAGGCAAGGAGGGTGCATGGCTACAAACATGGCTGCCTCCTGGAACAAAGCCTCCGCGTGCTTCCCCGAAAAAACCATAAATCACATAAGAACCCGCAAGAAGAAGGGTAGCCCCATTTAGCAAACCCCCACATGAGCATTTGTTTTTTCATTGTGTGGGGTGTTGTAATGGCATGGGTATCCTACGCGGGCCTACGCGTCAGCTCATGTTTAGTAGGCACGCGGCCTACGCGCGGAGTATGTTGTTGACGTGTGCCTACGCGGACCTACGCGGCAAGCATAGACAACCTACGCGGACCTACGCGGACCTACACGGCCATACTGCATAGACTTGCCTACGCGGGCCCTACGCAAACCTACGCCGTGCAGGCAAAATGCTACGCGGCCGACTTCCAATGATCGCGTCTCTACGTAGCCTTGCTCCTAGAAAAAACCGATGCTGACATCTTGTTTTCAGATACTGCCTCAAGCCACGAGGGCCATGAAGTCATGAAGTGAAAACACCATCAGATGACTCTGGAGCTACCCGTCACTCCAGGAAAACAACCCTTACCTCAACACAGTTCAAAAGTGCCACCCCCGGATTCACATCAGACAGGCAGCTCGGCTTGTTCAAAGAGTTCTTTCTCCAGCTCCTTCATATGCTTTGTGTCCTGATCGTGTTTTAACATGAGGAGTACGTATGAAAGGATGTAGGATGTCCAGGTTTGGATTGTCGCACCTTGTAGGTTGTGAACGCATCTATGTCCACCGCCTCTTTGTCCTTGCTCCTGGGAGAAGCTGGGAGCTGTTCATGGACTTAGCATATGCCTGGGTGCGGCACCACAGCAAGTTCTTGTGGATGTAAAGGTACGCGTTCGGGGTGCCATCCTCCTTGTCCTGTCGGATGCCCCGGCCAAGACGAAGCCGCGTCCCAAAAGCCCCTGCATCGCTAGTTGCCCTGCCCTCCCTTAAAGCCACGCTCCTTGCACTCACCCAGGGACTTGAAGGCATCCAGCTTCTTCATGCCATCGATCTCCATCCTTCCAGCAACATGAAGGCAGCCCTACCACATCAGACAAAAAAAACACACAGCAATGCGTGACTTCGTGTCCTCTTCTCCTTGAAGTGCATCCCTAAGAAATCAATGTTGTGGATCTTGAACACCTTGTCAAGGTCGCCTTCATTGACCTGCGTGCAACAGCAGCCGCTGCAGAGCTCCTAAAGCAATTTTCAATGCCTCTCACAGAGCGGGCAAGTTCCACAGCCATGAAAGGCCTCAGTCATGCGGTTGTAGCACTCTTCGTGCGTTCCCTCGCCAATCCAGACGAGAGAGCCGAGATTCTGCTGCAAGATCTGAAGCACAACGCCGTAGGTTGCAATCTTGCCCTTCGTCATTCCAACTACGTCCTCCTTGCAAATGGTCGCAGGCACGCAATTCGCTGCCAGCTCGTTGATTGGCGCGGTAGTGTCTTCGAACACCATCACATATTGGCAGTCTTCGTCGCCTGGCTTTTTCATGTCCCGGTGCTCAACTACATGACACGAGGAATATGCCTCGACCTTCTTCCGCAAAGTATCAGGGTCGCCATAGAGCTCGTTGAGGTTGATCTGGGTCCCGAGGTCTAGAGCCTCACCTGTCCATCATCTAGGTGCACTGGCCAGTTCTTGCAAGCACCAGGGTCGGCTGTTCATTCTCACCATTGCTTCATGCCAGGGGGATGGGGGGATGCCTCGAGACTCATCTGCAGACCAAGGGGCCCTTTGCTTGTCCGCAGCAGCCACTGATGAACTGCAGCTCTCCAAATACATCGCTTCTCTTCCTGAAGCTACGGCTCTGATTGCGACAACATGACGAACGTGAGTGGCCTGGACATCTGGGACTCAAAAACACCTCGAGGCGGCGTTCTGCTGAAATGCGTGGGCATACCCGTGGGTCGGCTGTCTTAACATTGTGCTGTTTCGGTGCTGCAGCCAGCCACCCCGCCAGAAGAGGAGATTGCGAAAGCACCGGTGTTGGGGGATCCAGGTCTTGGAAGCTTCCGGCTCAACATGAACTTTGAGGGCTCAGGGTTTCTCACCCAACATGACCTTTCAGGGGTTCAGGGTTTGCCACTCAACATGAGCCGGCAGGGCTTCGAGGGGTTGCCACCCAACATGACCCTTTAGGGTATACTGTTTGCCTGACCTTTCAGGGTCCAGAGCTTGCCGCCCAGAATCATCTTTTTGTCTTAGGGCAGTTTCATGGTCCCGCAATATGGGCCCTTCAGAGGGGGCCCCTTTATATCCCCCTTATGTACCCTATACAAATTAGGGCCCATACATCGGAACCCTTTCAAGGAGGTAAGGGACCACATCAGGAGCCCATGAAACAGAAATGTCCGTCTGCCACCCCCCCCCCCCCCCCCATTTTCCCCCGAATTCTTTTGTTCGGGGGTGGGCCAGGCGATGCCTGTCTTTGAGGTCAAGGTTGTCGAGGTTTGTGCTCGGACATGTTGCGTGGCACGCGCGGCATGTTCTAGCAAGGTCTTCAGGGCAACCCTTTGGAGCTTGCAAGCTTTCGTCCCAGCCTTTCACAGTTCCCCCACTCCCCCAGCCAAGGCCCCGCCGCAGACCTGCCCAAAGACACGCACAGGCGCAGGTTCCCGGCACAACGCGTGCACCTGCCCACGGACGCCAGGACTGATTTTCTGAAGTGTCCTTTTGTGTGGGCAGAAGCCAGGCCAGCCACTGGCTGGCCCCAAGAGAAGGAACAAAGAAAACCAGCACTGGTTCGCTTTGGAGGTGTCAGGAAAGGCCTGCTTTCATTTCAGAAAGTGCTGAAGTAAGTCCGTGGCCACGGAAGGTGCAAGCCGAAATTCACATGGAAGTTCAGGAAATGAGAAATGAGTGACCTTTGACCTCTTCGACAGCTTCTCTTCACGCTACTGGTGGGAGCTCAGCCCCTTTCAGCAAGGGTGGCAACATGTTCACTCACAGAGCGAGCTATCCCTAACCATTAGCAGCAAACATCCATGCCAGGCACACTTGCAGCGTTTGTAATCGTGATGCCGCTGACCTTGCAGTGCCTTGCAGACACTCGGAATGAAGACTTGAAAGCCAAGGCTCTGCGTAGCCTCGACCTCGTCCTGCACAGTGGGTTACGAATGCGTGAGCCATGCCAGCTATGCAGAGTTGCAGAGAACATCGCCACAACAATGGCCCCTTGGAAAGACAAAGCAGGAGTGGAGAGGATGGCAATGCTTGAAAGCGCAACTGATGATATCTGAGGAAGAGCCTTCATCACACAGAGGGCTCTGCACAGCAGGTCGCAGCAGTCACAGCAGCGCTCAGAGAGTGGGTGGGGTCAGAGACTGGTAGACGTGGAGCATACATCTGCTGCGCAGCCGAAGATGCCCTCTGTCCTGGAAGGTCGTCTTCGACAAGGCCTGTCAGGTGACCATACGACGGAGGAACAGAGCAGAAGCACAGCAGAGGACTCCCTGAGCTGAGAAGATATGGCAAGAAGGTGAAAAAACCAGGGCCTCGCCACCCACCAGCGTGGCCACGCGCACAGTCGCCGAGGCCCGATATAGCCTCAGCCAAAGCTTCATGGATCTCAAAGCTGCACTCAAGAAGCATGGTCCACACGGAGCTGCCCCCTCACAGAACAAGGACTCCAAGTAGCACGGCTGTGAGAAGCGTGCAGAACAGCCGCATGGTCCTCGGAAAGAAGCGCTTGGGCAAGAGTCAAGAAAGTCCAGCAGACATTTTTAGATCGACTTTTTGACGAGGTGTGCGCTTGCCGAACCCGAAGATCGGCGCGTGGCCACACTGAGCTCCGGCCACCCATCGATGGGTATATGCCACGTGAGCGCTTGGAGTAGGGGCATTGTGAGAAAACGCTACATACTCCCAACAAGAAACGCAGAAAAAAACCGTCAGCAATATCTCCTTCGAGGGTTTAGGGCTTCCCAGCCAAGATCTCCATTTAGGGCATTAGGGCTTGCAACTCGCTTGGACTTGCCACCCAACATGCCCTTTTGAGGCTTTTTGTCTTTCCACTGAACATCTCCCCTTCGGCTTTATGGGTCTACGTTCTCCAAGGCAGTGCAGCCCTCAAAGACGACGTTGGGTGGCCCATGAACCTCACCGTGTCATCCCTTTGAGGCTTTCAGGGTTTCGTCTCTTTTTCTGCGATTCGCTGGGTTTCTGCACCGGAGAGGGGGAAGGCATTTCTCTCGTGGCAAGGGCCACGGTTTCAGAGTCCGAGAGCCCAGAAAAGGGCCACGGTTTCAAGACTCCAGCATACTCCAAACCCGCATTTTAGTCGTGGAAGGGACCACGATTTCAAGGCTCCCAAGCGCATGTTTCGTGGTAGGGGCCACGCTTCAAGCCTCCGAAAACCCAAAAGGTACAAGCAAGCAAAACCAAAGTTACAACCAATCTGAATCGAGGCTGCAGCCTGATGCCTTTCATTCTCGCAGCGTTTGCGCAGGTTCTTCTTTTCTTCGAAAACTCCAAAACCGTGGGTGTTGCACAGATTCGACAACGCGACCAACCACACTTCTCGAGCGAACGGCGTGTCCGGCATCCAAAAAACCTGTCCAATATCATGCAAGGGGGCATACCCGTACAAATGCTAATGTTTGACAAACGTAGGGGGGAAATTCCAAGACACGCTTATAAGAGGCGTCTCTGCTACAAAGTACCAGCCACACGGTTCTTCTTCATGGAGGGCGTGACGTTCCGGAGAGCAAGACGTGACAACACTGCCGAACCACAATGGATGCGGCTCTTACACAAATGAGTGTATATGTAATATGTATACACATGTGTGCATATGTGCGTGCATGTATAGTGTATGCATAGCAGGTACTTGCTCATAATTACATGCCACACAAAGCAGGGCTTCGCACACAAAGTTTGCTCCGGTCCTGCTATACACCTGCACCTTCGCCTGGGCTGGCGCAACGGAGCAGATGCGGCTTTGGCGCTGTGAGGCTTTCGGGCCGAGAAGGCTCTCAGGATTCTCAGGATTCTGGCGTTGACGCAACGCCTGCAAAAATCTAAGGAGCCCTCCGGGATGTATGTGTGTTGTAAGCTCAGAGGCTTCGGGGTTCATCACTCACTGCCGAGGGTCGGAGTGCGGACATATGGCGCTTTGCACCAGGCAGCTACTGCCATGGCTCAAGCACAGCACCTGTCTCAGCAGGTTCGTAGACAACTTTTCATGACAGCCTCGCAGGGCGCCTTGCATCCTATGGTGAAGCCAACATTGTGGCATAGTTCATTGCCGCGCTGCCTATGCACGTTCCATGGACTGGGCGCGTTGAATTTGAAAATGCACGCAACTTCGGCGTGTGCCTATCCACATGCCGAGGAAGGCCTCTCAGACATGAATGTCAGCAGACAGCCGGCGGCTTGCAATTGTTGCCGTAGACTGGGCTGCCGATTGCACGTCCTAAGGGCACACGAGATGCCTGAAACAGCGAAACGAAACAACACACCTGTAGCTGCCCCGCGTTGCAGAGCGCCCCTTGTTTGCCCTGAGTGGGTCTGTCCTCGGGCCGCCCTCCCTTGTCATTTGCCCCTCGTTTCTCCTCTGGGGGCCCTACAAACCTGACACCCCCCACATTTCGGAGACCCCTAGGGCCCTAGGGTCCCCGGTTCCCAAGTCATGTGACGAAAGCGCCCGAGAAGCCTTCGTGATTGCTGACAGCTGATGTCGAACTTGATAGCAGCTCATAGCATAGCCGATTGCGACTGCGAGGCCGTGGCGGCTCCATGAGAATGTCTGAACCCTGAGCTGGTGACGGCCACGACCTTGTCGGCGCCAGCTTTCAAAGAGTCTGCGGCCTGGTGACCCATCCCTTCGTGTAACTGCTGTGCTTGTCTCCCCTATACTGAACGATTAATTATGACGTGTCTCTCCCCCGGGAAGAGTCAGAAGGGGCTACAGGCGATTTCGATCTGCTCTCTCAACTCCAACATGCCAGCGAGAAAAGCGAGAAAGCTGCAAAGGATGGCAAACCTGGGGGCTCTCTGTTTGTTGATGCTTGTTGATGCTTGTTGGCCTTAAGTCCTAAGTCTTCGCTGTGGAAGGCTGAGCACCTTCAGCTGCGTGCTATGCGTGCTTTGCTTCTGAACAGGCATCGGTTACCTTCTTGTGCTTACTTGCTGCTCCTCCCTGGGGCTCACTGCTTCTGGTTGTCAATGTTCTTCTGGCAGGCTCTGGCTACAGTACCTCCTGAGTTTTGCCCTCACGCTCTGTCACGCTCACTCTGTTGCCACCAACCCCATCGAAAAGGTGGCCCTCTACACCTCCGGAAATATCTTCCCTGTACAACGGCCCACGTTCCTGTGAGTAAGACTTCGTGATGCTGGGGTTTCAGGAGTTTCTTGCACGTTGGCAGCCAGGAGTTCTAAGTATGGGGGAAGCGATGGATCGTATTACGGAGATGGCGCCACGCAAGTTCAGCACACACATCCGTCCAATGCACTCTCCGGCGGCCAGTCTGGGATCGGCGCTTGTCCTACCCCCCTTTACTTGAAGCTATGTGTGAAACACCAGTTCCTCGGAGGACTGTGGGTTCTGAGGACGTGCCCGAAAATTTGCGCTCTGCGAATGTGGTGGGTTGTTGGCGCGCTGCTCTACCTCTGCATCTACTTCTGCGTAGTACACAGCCTTTTATTCCTTGCATTTTACGGAGGGCTTTGGCTGTGAAAGTATCTCGAAGACACCGTCAGACATTGCCTGCAAGCACAGCTTTGCTCTGCCCTCCTGCTCACTCTCCTCATATCTCTCTCTAATGCAGCCACTTGCCCACTTCTTGCTGCGGAGCCACAGGCAGCACTGCTCATGCTTGCTAAGGTTATCTCAAAGGCAGGCGCAGTGGAAACTTATTGCAGAGTTCGAACTCAGACCAATCCGGTTCGCTGGCGCCTTCACCAGCTTGTCGGCCTGACATGCAATGGGAACATGAGGCTCTCGATGCGGTGCGGGGCCTATAGGGCCTAGTTATGATGTTTCGTTGCTGAGCCTGCTCTTGAAGCGCCGCTGGCGCCGGCACTGCCGGAATGGCCGGCGTTGCTGGCACTGCTGGAACTGCAGGCACTGCCGGAACGGCGGGCGCCGCCGGCACGGCGGGCACTGCCGGAACGGCGGGCACCAGTGCGGCAATTGCCTCAAGAAAAGGCTGCTGCAATCTTCATGATTGCACTGATCAGGGGCGGCTCACCGGCCATCGCAGAACGCAGACTCAGCCGGCCACTTCTGCAGCCTTGTCCTCCATGGCTTTCGTCACAGCGGCGGCCTTCTCTCATGTTGAGCTCAAGGACTCAAGGCGGTCCCTGCGCTAGCCGCTAGTAATGGGCACCCTGGAAACAACCTCCGACAAGATCTACTGACCCTTGCCGGTAAAATGTGCGAGAAGGTTCTTTGGTCCTGGGGCCTTCAATGAAACGACTCCTTGAAGAGAACTCGTTCCAACCGCAAGGACGGTCATCCACGAACCCCAACAGTCCATGAACCGAACACCAGATCCCTAGCAAACCGCGCCGACCTTGTCCGCCGTGGATTTTAGATGATCGGAGGCCTTCAGTCAAGTCACAGCGTCTCTGGCACGCTCTGGCTACCAAGTGCTGTCCAATCCCGGATTGAATCCGCTGGTGACCTAGCGGGTTTGATATGGCTGTGTAGGAGGAGGCTTGTCTTGTGCAAGCTGAATTTCAAAGTTGTTTTCTGGCCCCAGGACTCTGCAAGAATCCACCCTCTTCGCTGTCGGCACTTGGCGTCGGACGCTTTGTGTAGCATCAGACATTGCCTGCAGGCACAGCTTTGCTCAGCTCACCTGCTCATTCTCCTTCTACGTCTCTCTCGTACCCTCTGCAGGCGGAAGGATGCAGCCATTATTTGTTGCACAGCCAGTTCCTTCTTAACTGCTTCCAACAGGCGGCGGTGCTCATAGCTGAGGGCATCAACGTATATCAGAGCCGGAGCTTGAAAACTTCCTAACTCGAACTCAGACCAATCCGGTTCGCTGGCGCCTTCGCAAGCTTCTCGGCCTGACAGCAATACATGAGGCTCTCGATTCGTCGATGCGGTGCCCATTATGTTTTCGGCAATTTGCTGAGCCTGGTCCTGAAGCGCCGGTGCTGGCACTGCCGGTACGCCGGGTGTGGCCGAGGGCACCAGTGCCTCGAGTGCCTCAGGAATATGAAGCTTCACTGGGGTGGTTCAGCGGCTTTGGGCACAGACTCACACAGAAGCAGCTAGGGTATGTTAGGGTCATATGAGTCCTATGAGAGATCGAAGGCTAAATTAGCTTCTGAAGATGCGTTTAGCATCATTAAGGTTGTCCAGAGTTGAATTAAGCGTCTGCAAACCTGCTTCTGGCAGCCCCAGTGGTGCTTGTAAGCCGGCGACTGATGCAGCCTCGTCCACCATGGCTTTCTGCGCATCGATGGCCTTCCCACGTGTGCAATCCCTGTGCTAGTGATCTTGTCACGCTGGAAATAACCTCCGACAAGATCTAGTGACCCAGCTTGCCTGAAGTGTGAGACGTTGTGTTTGGATTCCCTGAAGATCTCAGCAGGATGACGGAGCTTGGACAACTCGTTCCAACAGCAGCTGCTAGATCCAAGATGGATGTCCACGAACCGGGTGCAACAACCGCACCGACCTTGTCCGCCGTGTTTTTTGCGTGGTCGGAGGCCTCCAGTCACAGCTTCTCTGGCACGCTCTGGCTACCAACTGCTGTCCAATCCGGATCGAACCGACTGGTAACCTAGCGGGTTTGCTATGGCCGTGGATAGGGTGTCCGTTGGACGATGAAGTATAACGTTGTCTCCTCTTTCGGAAGCTGAGATTGAAAGGTTCCCTGGCCCCAGGTCTCTCCAAGACATCCGCCCCCTTCGCCGTGCAAGCTCGGCAGCGGACGCTTTGTGCGGCATCAGACATTGCCTGCAAGCACAGCTTTGCTCTGCCCTCCTGCTCACTCTCCTCATATCTCTCTCTAATGCAGCCACTTGCCCACTTCTTGCTGCGGAGCCACAGGCAGCACTGCTCATGCTTGCTAAGGTTATCTCAAAGGCAGGCGCAGTGGAAACTTATTGCAGAGTTCGAACTCAGACCAATCCGGTTCGCTGGCGCCTTCACCAGCTTGTCGGCCTGACATGCAATGGGAACATGAGGCTCTCGATGCGGTGCGGGGCCTATAGGGCCTAGTTATGATGTTTCGTTGCTGAGCCTGCTCTTGAAGCGCCGCTGGCGCCGGCACTGCCGGAATGGCCGGCGTTGCTGGCACTGCTGGAACTGCAGGCACTGCCGGAACGGCGGGCGCCGCCGGCACGGCGGGCACTGCCGGAACGGCGGGCACCAGTGCGGCAATTGCCTCAAGAAAAGGCTGCTGCAATCTTCATGATTGCACTGATCAGGGGCGGCTCACCGGCCATCGCAGAACGCAGACTCAGCCGGCCACTTCTGCAGCCTTGTCCTCCATGGCTTTCGTCACAGCGGCGGCCTTCTCTCATGTTGAGCTCAAGGACTCAAGGCGGTCCCTGCGCTAGCCGCTAGTAATGGGCACCCTGGAAACAACCTCCGACAAGATCTACTGACCCTTGCCGGTAAAATGTGCGAGAAGGTTCTTTGGTCCTGGGGCCTTCAATGAAACGACTCCTTGAAGAGAACTCGTTCCAACCGCAAGGACGGTCATCCACGAACCCCAACAGTCCATGAACCGAACACCAGATCCCTAGCAAACCGCGCCGACCTTGTCCGCCGTGGATTTTAGATGATCGGAGGCCTTCAGTCAAGTCACAGCGTCTCTGGCACGCTCTGGCTACCAAGTGCTGTCCAATCCCGGATTGAATCCGCTGGTGACCTAGCGGGTTTGATATGGCTGTGTAGGAGGAGGCTTGTCTTGTGCAAGCTGAATTTCAAAGTTGTTTTCTGGCCCCAGGACTCTGCAAGAATCCACCCTCTTCGCTGTCGGCACTTGGCGTCGGACGCTTTGTGTAGCATCAGACATTGCCTGCAGGCACAGCTTTGCTCAGCTCACCTGCTCATTCTCCTTCTACGTCTCTCTCGTACCCTCTGCAGGCGGAAGGATGCAGCCATTATTTGTTGCACAGCCAGTTCCTTCTTAACTGCTTCCAACAGGCGGCGGTGCTCATAGCTGAGGGCATCAACGTATATCAGAGCCGGAGCTTGAAAACTTCCTAACTCGAACTCAGACCAATCCGGTTCGCTGGCGCCTTCGCAAGCTTCTCGGCCTGACAGCAATACATGAGGCTCTCGATTCGTCGATGCGGTGCCCATTATGTTTTCGGCAATTTGCTGAGCCTGGTCCTGAAGCGCCGGTGCTGGCACTGCCGGTACGCCGGGTGTGGCCGAGGGCACCAGTGCCTCGAGTGCCTCAGGAATATGAAGCTTCACCGGGGTGGTTCAGCGGCTTTGGGCACAGACTCACACAGAAGCAGCTAGGGTATGTTAGGGTCATATGAGTCCTATGAGAGATCGAAGGCTAAATTAGCTTCTGAAGATGCGTTTAGCATCATTAAGGTTGTCCAGAGTTGAATTAAGCGTCTGCAAACCTGCTTCTGGCAGCCCCAGTGGTGCTTGTAAGCCGGCGACTGATGCAGCCTCGTCCACCATGGCTTTCTGCGCATCGATGGCCTTCCCACGTGTGCAATCCCTGTGCTAGTGATCTTGTCACGCTGGAAATAACCTCCGACAAGATCTAGTGACCCAGCTTGCCTGAAGTGTGAGACGTTGTGTTTGGATTCCCTGAAGATCTCAGCAGGATGACGGAGCTTGGACAACTCGTTCCAACAGCAGCTGCTAGATCCAAGATGGATGTCCACGAACCGGGTGCAACAACCGCACCGACCTTGTCCGCCGTGTTTTTTGCGTGGTCGGAGGCCTCCAGTCACAGCTTCTCTGGCACGCTCTGGCTACCAACTGCTGTCCAATCCGGATCGAACCGACTGGTAACCTAGCGGGTTTGCTATGGCCGTGGATAGGGTGTCCGTTGGACGATGAAGTATAACGTTGTCTCCTCTTTCGGAAGCTGAGATTGAAAGGTTCCCTGGCCCCAGGTCTCTCCAAGACATCCGCCCCCTTCGCCGTGCAAGCTCGGCAGCGGACGCTTTGTGCGGCATCAGACATTGCCTGCAAGCACAGCTTTGCTCTGCCCTCCTGCTCACTCTCCTCATATCTCTCTCTAATGCAGCCACTTGCCCACTTCTTGCTGCGGAGCCACAGGCAGCACTGCTCATGCTTGCTAAGGTTATCTCAAAGGCAGGCGCAGTGGAAACTTATTGCAGAGTTCGAACTCAGACCAATCCGGTTCGCTGGCGCCTTCACCAGCTTGTCGGCCTGACATGCAATGGGAACATGAGGCTCTCGATGCGGTGCGGGGCCTATAGGGCCTAGTTATGATGTTTCGTTGCTGAGCCTGCTCTTGAAGCGCCGCTGGCGCCGGCACTGCCGGAATGGCCGGCGTTGCTGGCACTGCTGGAACTGCAGGCACTGCCGGAACGGCGGGCGCCGCCGGCACGGCGGGCACTGCCGGAACGGCGGGCACCAGTGCGGCAATTGCCTCAAGAAAAGGCTGCTGCAATCTTCATGATTGCACTGATCAGGGGCGGCTCACCGGCCATCGCAGAACGCAGACTCAGCCGGCCACTTCTGCAGCCTTGTCCTCCATGGCTTTCGTCACAGCGGCGGCCTTCTCTCATGTTGAGCTCAAGGACTCAAGGCGGTCCCTGCGCTAGCCGCTAGTAATGGGCACCCTGGAAACAACCTCCGACAAGATCTACTGACCCTTGCCGGTAAAATGTGCGAGAAGGTTCTTTGGTCCTGGGGCCTTCAATGAAACGACTCCTTGAAGAGAACTCGTTCCAACCGCAAGGACGGTCATCCACGAACCCCAACAGTCCATGAACCGAACACCAGATCCCTAGCAAACCGCGCCGACCTTGTCCGCCGTGGATTTTAGATGATCGGAGGCCTTCAGTCAAGTCACAGCGTCTCTGGCACGCTCTGGCTACCAAGTGCTGTCCAATCCCGGATTGAATCCGCTGGTGACCTAGCGGGTTTGATATGGCTGTGTAGGAGGAGGCTTGTCTTGTGCAAGCTGAATTTCAAAGTTGTTTTCTGGCCCCAGGACTCTGCAAGAATCCACCCTCTTCGCTGTCGGCACTTGGCGTCGGACGCTTTGTGTAGCATCAGACATTGCCTGCAGGCACAGCTTTGCTCAGCCCACCTGCTCATTCTCCTTCTACGTCTCTCTCGTACTCTCTGCAGGCGGAAGGATGCAGCCATTATTTGCTGCACAGCCAGTTCCTTCTTAACTGCTTCCAACAGGCGGCAGTGCTCATAGCTGAGGGCATCAACGTATATCAGAGCCGGAGCTTGAAAACTTCCTAACTCGAACTCAGACCAATCCGGTTCGCTGGCGCCTTCGCAAGCTTCTCGGCCTGACAGCAATACATGAGGCTCTCGATTCGTCGATGCGGTGCCCATTATGTTTTCGGCAATTTGCTGAACCTGGTCCTGAAGCGCCGGTGCTGGCACTGCCGGTACGCCGGGTGTGGCCGAGGGCACCAGTGCCTCAAGTGCCTCAGGAATATGAAGCTTCACCGGGGTGGTTCAGCGGCTTCGGGCACAGACTCACACAGAAGTAGCTAGGGTATGTTAGGGTCATATGAGTCCTATGAGAGATCGAAGGCTAAATTAGCTTCTGAAGATGCGTTTAGCATCATTAAGGTTGTCCAGAGTTGAATTAAGCGTCTGCAAACCTGCTTCTTGGCAGCCCCAGTGGTGCTTGTAAGCCGGCGACTGATGCAGCCTCGTCCACCATGGCTTTCTGCGCATCGATGGCCTTCACACGCGTGCAATCCCTGTGCTAGTGATCTTGTCACCCTGGAAATAACCTCCGACAAGATCTAGTGACCCAGCTTGCCGGTGAAGTGTGAGACGTTGTGTTTGGATTCCCTGAAGATCTCAGCAGGATGACGGAGCTTGGAAAACTCGTTCCAACAGCAGCTGCTAGATCCAAGATGGATGTCCACGAACCGGGTGCAACAACCGCACCGACCTTGTCCGCCGTGTTTTTTGCGTGGTCGGAGGCCTCCAGTCACAGCTTCTCTGGCACGCTCTGGCTACCAACTGCTGTCCAATCCGGATCGAACCGACTGGTAACCTAGCGGGTTTGCTATGGCCGTGGATAGGGTGTCCGTTGGACGATGAAGTATAACGTTGTCTCCTCTTTCGGAAGCTGAGATTGAAAGGTTCCCTGGCCCCAGGTCTCTCCAAGACATCCGCCCCCTTCGCCGTGCAAGCTCGGCAGCGGACGCTTTGTGCGGCATCAGACATTGCCTGCAAGCACAGCTTTGCTCTGCCCTCCTGCTCACTCTCCTCATATCTCTCTCTAATGCAGCCACTTGCCCACTTCTTGCTGCGGAGCCACAGGCAGCACTGCTCATGCTTGCTAAGGTTATCTCAAAGGCAGGCGCAGTGGAAACTTATTGCAGAGTTCGAACTCAGACCAATCCGGTTCGCTGGCGCCTTCACCAGCTTGTCGGCCTGACATGCAATGGGAACATGAGGCTCTCGATGCGGTGCGGGGCCTATAGGGCCTAGTTATGATGTTTCGTTGCTGAGCCTGCTCTTGAAGCGCCGCTGGCGCCGGCACTGCCGGAATGGCCGGCGTTGCTGGCACTGCTGGAACTGCAGGCACTGCCGGAACGGCGGGCGCCGCCGGCACGGCGGGCACTGCCGGAACGGCGGGCACCAGTGCGGCAATTGCCTCAAGAAAAGGCTGCTGCAATCTTCATGATTGCACTGATCAGGGGCGGCTCACCGGCCATCGCAGAACGCAGACTCAGCCGGCCACTTCTGCAGCCTTGTCCTCCATGGCTTTCGTCACAGCGGCGGCCTTCTCTCATGTTGAGCTCAAGGACTCAAGGCGGTCCCTGCGCTAGCCGCTAGTAATGGGCACCCTGGAAACAACCTCCGACAAGATCTACTGACCCTTGCCGGTAAAATGTGCGAGAAGGTTCTTTGGTCCTGGGGCCTTCAATGAAACGACTCCTTGAAGAGAACTCGTTCCAACCGCAAGGACGGTCATCCACGAACCCCAACAGTCCATGAACCGAACACCAGATCCCTAGCAAACCGCGCCGACCTTGTCCGCCGTGGATTTTAGATGATCGGAGGCCTTCAGTCAAGTCACAGCGTCTCTGGCACGCTCTGGCTACCAAGTGCTGTCCAATCCCGGATTGAATCCACTGGTGACCTAGCGGGTTTGATATGGCTGTGTAGGAGGAGGCTTGTCTTGTGCAAGCTGAATTTCAAAGTTGTTTTCTGGCCCCAGGACTCTGCAAGAAGCCACCCTCTTCGCTGTCGGCACTTGGCGTCGGACGCTTTGTGTAGCATCAGACATTGCCTGCAGGCACAGCTTTGCTCAGCCCACCTGCTCATTCTCCTTCTACGTCTCTCTCGTACTCTCTGCAGGCGGAAGGATGCAGCCATTATTTGCTGCACAGCCAGTTCCTTCTTAACTGCTTCCAACAGGCGGCAGTGCTCATAGCTGAGGGCATCAACGTATATCAGAGCCGGAGCTTGAAAACTTCCTAACTCGAACTCAGACCAATCCGGTTCGCTGGCGCCTTCGCAAGCTTCTCGGCCTGACAGCAATACATGAGGCTCTCGATTCGTCGATGCGGTGCCCATTCTGCTTTCGGCAATTTGCTGAGCCTGGTCCTGAAGCGCCGGTGCTGGCACTGCCGGTACGCCGGGTGTGGCCGAGGGCACCAGTGCCTCGAGTGCCTCAGGAATATGAAGCTTCACCGGGGTGGTTCAGCGGCTTTGGGCACAGACTCACACAGAAGTAGCTAGGGTATGTTAGGGTCATATGAGTCCTATGAGAGATCGAAGGCTAAATTAGCTTCTGAAGATGCGTTTAGCATCATTAAGTTGTCCAGAGTTGAATTAAGCGTCTGCAAACCTGCTTCTTGGCAGCCCCAGTGGTGCTTGTAAGCCGGCGACTGATGCAGCCTCGTCCACCATGGCTTTCTGCGCATCGATGGCCTTCACACGTGTGCAATCCCTGTGCTAGTGATCTTGTCACCCTGGAAATAACCTCCGACAAGATCTAGTGACCCAGCTTCCAGCTTGCCGGTGAAGTGTGAGACGTTGTGTTTGGATTCCCTGAAGATCTCAGCAGGATGACGGAGCTTGGAAAACTCGTTCCAACAGCAGCTGCTAG